AAGCCCTCTTGACCTGGATAAAACCCATTTCTTCAAGCTTAAAAACCATCTATTCAAGCTTGCAGCTGTGCCGGTACTGGATGTGCAGCTTGATTTTGCTAGCGAGGGTCGTTGAGACTTTTCCTGGCGGAATTGACGAGGGGGCTGGTGCTTTCACCGGAGACTGCCCAATCAGTGGCAGCACATAGTTTGACAGATTTACAGAGCATGCTCGGGCATTCATTGCGAGCATGCTCTTGCCGAGGGCCCGAGCGGCGCTTTGATCTTATGTTAGTTTAGGCTCTGCCAGCGCCTCTGATCTCTGGGGCATTTGACACGGAGTCAAGGCGAGTTTTCTCAAGCCGGACGAGCTCGACGGACGGACTCGAGATAAAAGCTCCGCTCTCTAGATTGCTACATCTGTGCTGAATGATGTCCCGGGCTTAGTCATCACTAAGTTGCTTAGCTCTTCTTATGCGGAGCTCATAGCAGGCAGTCCACCGGGTGCTTCCTCGTAGACACTTCTACTTCGCACGCAGCACTGGGCTTAGACGGGTTGCAGGGAGCCCGGAAGCGAAAGGAGCCCTTAGAAAGCCCGGGCCACACGTCGAGGCCTGGAAAAACATGTTGTTGACCTTTCGTGTGCTGAGTGCTGTGTCGAAAAGTATCAAATAAGACACTCGACGGCGCCAGGTTCTGTGAACCACTACAGCCGACCGCAAGTTGGGCATCATGTTCTTCATGCCAGGCAGACTGTGGTCTCTGCAGCTGATTCCGGGTACTCCGAGACTGCACTTGGGCAGGTGGTGCTGAAGCAGAAGAGGCAGCCGGTGGCTGAGATCGAGCTCGCACAGCCCTTGTCAAGAAATGACCGACCTCCCTGCGCACGAGAAACAGTAACAAGCTTGACCAACCCTCGGCCGAGGCGAGAAAAGCTAAGGATAATGCCTGGGAAGAGTTTTGGTTCAAGCTGAAGGCCCAGCATGGTGACGCAAAGACTGCAGCAGATCCTGCGATCGAGACCCCGTAGAACCTGTCCAGTTCGGCGCCACCTACTGCGCTGTGATCTCCATCTTGCCCTTCTTTGTCCGATGGCGAGGCTCTCAGAACCATCCCGCGGGGGCTTCCGGAGGATCTCGGCAGATCATGTGGCTGAGGGCTACAGTGCTACAGCTGACCGCGGTCGTCGTTCAGTTTCATGTTTGGTACTGCAGGGCCTGTAGGGCTCACGCGCCCGCTCCTCCCTTTGCCACTCCACTGCAAGGTTTCAAGGTGGGAAGGCGCTGAAAGACTAGCAGAGACCGGCGCTTCGAGGCAAGAAAGTGGCCTGCAACATCTAGATGCAGAAAGGAGTTGCATGAGACGCTGGTTTGCCGCTGTCCATTGTTATCCGAACGATTTCGATAGCATCGGCAAACCGGGTATCGGTTCGGAATGTGAAGCTCGTTTGGTCGAGAGACCCAGCTGGACCACAGGTTAACCCGCTGATGCCGGTGAACAGGGCCAGATGCCGGGCAGCTGATGACAGCAGGATTCGGCCAGTGCAGGAGTAGACGCCTGGATTGTATGCGGTCTGATGGGTTTGGCTGCACACTGCCCCAGATCGTCTCAGGGCTTGTCCGTGTCTGCCTTCAGTTATGCCTTGAGGCCTCGACCATGAGAGTTGACCCGAAACGCTGAATTGCAAACCCCAAGTCAACCTGAACACACCACTGATAAAACTCACAGGCTCCACATGGCACGCCATTGCACACCATGTGCCGTGCAGATTCTGGGACTCCTGGAGCTTCCGACAGGGTCGACTCTTGCCTTTTTGCCTTTGCCCGGGCAGCCATCGTTTCTTTGACCTTGTGGCCGGACCATCCCGGATTCGGCAGTTTAAGGTAAGGTACAGTTCCGTGTTGAACTTGAAGCAACGTGGATATTCCTGTTAAGCTTTCTGTAGGATACCGTGGAGCCGTGCAATTGGACGATTTCTGATCCGAGGACCACTGAAGCGAAGGACTGAGTGTCGGACGGCGAGGAAGAAGCATTGCTCATGGCCCGGCAGTGCTTCTGAAAAACCGAGGGTGGGTGGTGTCGGTGCGTGCATGTCTCTGTGTGTGTGGGTGTGTGTGTGTGTGTGTGGATGGGCGGAGTTCTGCAAGGCATGTGTAGATGCCTTCGACACGTGCACAAAGCTGTCAAGCCCACGTGCTTACACGACTTCGTGCCTGGGTTCAGCTGCTGAGCGGCTAGCAGCAGGGGCAAGCTTCGCCTTATCCTTAGTCATCCTCAGCCCAGCATCCCAGGACCCTCAGCCCCCCGCTCCACCAGCACCCTAAGCAGACATGATGCCATTGGAAAGTGCAGCTACCTGATATTAACTATCGTCTAGATGTTCTAGCATTGGTGTAGTTGGCCTGTGCTCTGGTAGCTGATGTCCGATGCACGGACTATGGTGTGGCCCTCAGCCAAAGCCGGAAGGTCCTGCCTGAAGCAAGCGAGATTCGGCTGAACTCAACCCAACGGAAGTGACCTTCACCGAAGTCCGGCAAGTGCAGCACCTGCAAGCATAGCTGCTTCACGAAGACTCCCGGCTCTGGGCTCTGCATGGCTCTGCAATCTGCTCCAGTCCCGAGGAGCCTGAGATGTTCGGAGCCCGCGGCCAGGATGGCCAGGTCGTCGAAGGCAGCTGTTTGCTGAAGGAAGGGGGGACTTTGGGCACGATGGTCTCACTTGCTTGCGCGAGTCTGTTCCTAACATCCTCAAGAAGCTGTACAGGGTCGTAGTCTTCGTGGGAGGAGAATGGCGTGCATCACGCAGACTGCAGTTGACGTGTCGTCTCCTTGTGGTCTCCAGTTTCTACCAGGTGCACCTGGCCAATGGCCGCCTGATGGCGACATTCCGATCGCCGTGCGACCAGCAACGGGGCTGCGCTGATGCTGCGATGCAGCGAGCGGAGAGGTGGATGTTTGTGCTCAGCTTGTGCAGAGTCCCACCCTCTCGCTCGCTCCCTGCACAAAGCCTGTTGATCGCATCGTTGTGCATTTTGGGGTCAAGTCAAGACTCTCTCGGGTTTTGTTGTGGGGGTTCTTGATGTGACGTGCTGAGGTAAACTCCGAGCTTTCGGGGGTCTCCTCGTTGTCCACAGGCCAGCCTGCAGCCTGAGCTGGGTATGGCATTTGTTTGCAGAAGACTCCTAGTCAGACTCAGACCATGTCCGCTTGTCGCACCGAAACCCTACCCAGACATACCCAGATGCTGGTGCGTTTCGGCAGTCCGGCAGGGCAGTGGGACGAAGTGCGAAGACAGGCCTGGGATGAGCGATCCGAGGGATTCGGTGAAGGTGCTCTCGAGGAAAGTTCTTGTCCTTCAATGTGCAACTGATATCAGTTCAGAGTCGAGGTTCTTTAGCTCTGATCCAGGAAGAACCCTCCTTCCTCGGCTGGTGGGGGCTTGAAGTTGAATGGCGACATGAACAAACAAGCTACCATGAAGGTATATGACGTTAATTGCATTCTTCGTGCTTCTACCTTGCATCGACTGCTGAGTCATAACGCGCCGTGGTTCTTGCTCATCACTTCTCACTTTGCAGGAGCTGCTTGCGCAGGGAATGACACCAGCGCAGGTAGATGCCCTGTTCGCCCGGCACCTGACATGTTCCCTGACATGCCTTTCGGTATTTGGTCTGTGCATCGGGCACTTTCAAAATCACCGTATCCATCGAAGCAACGGTGGCATGACTACTCCCAACCAAGTGCTCACTGTTGAGCTGAGCCATCAGGTCCGACAGCATCGGCAGGACTGAGCTGCAACGAACCTTCTCGGAAGCATTCCCGTCTGCTTGTACAGCGCAGCCTTCAACTGCAGACCGAGTTGCAACGGACCTTTTCGGGCGTTGCGGTGGAGCTTCGTCCAAGCACCGGCAGGAAATGATGGCAGAGGTATGCCGACATTGGCTTCTGATGCCCCGCGCTCGGCCGAAGCAGAGTTGTCCAGCTCGGGTTTGGACATTCGGAGACCATTGCACGCGATTCGCCCTTTGCTTTCCAACTTTGAGCGCGATTCCTTCCGCACGGTATGCGGTCATTGCCACATCTCAGGTTTGGCATCAGCAGCTTCGTTTTAGGCATGCTGACCGTGGTCATGCTAGTGTGGCCGGGTGCCCAGGCAGTTGAATACTGAATTCGACCAAATCGGCAATGGCTTGCTTAGGTCCACGTGAGGTTGCCAGCTTCAGTTTAGTACTAATGGTCGGAGACGGTCGGAGATTTTTCGGTGCCAATGACATGATTTTCCCACGTCACGTCTGGCCGGCAGGGCCAACTTAGTGAGCGACTGTGTAGGATCGTCGACTCATCGGCCATGTGTTCGATCATGCGGAGCACAGGGGGTCATTCCTTTTAATTTCTTTGTGAACGGGCGCTGAGCACTCCTTGGCCAACCCAGTCACTGCCTGGGAGTGGGAATGTCCCTGCACCACCTGCTCCTGGGCCCCGGCAGCTGGAGGGCTGTTCATTTTCAGTCGTGTTTCATCATCATCACCATCATCTTCTTCTGCTTCTTAATGTAATCTGCAACAGGCGTTCAGTCACCATGATGATCCGCTCACAAATCTGACAGCTCAACGTGTGTGCGCGTATGTGTGCATGCGCGTCTCTCGTGTCCTTCCTGCAGCGAGGCTGTGTTTCGTTTGGGCCAAGGCCCGTCCTTTCCGCTCTGCTTGCATTGCACTTGCACGTGCACATGTTGCATCCGTCAGGCCTATGTGAAAGGCTTCCACAGCTGTGACTCGCGGAGGCCCCAGTAGCCTGCTCGTGGATGTGCAACCCGGTGGTTCTCTTCCAGGGGTTCTGTGCTAGCTTCCTCAGAATAGTCAAAAGTCCTGGCATCTTTGTCAGATCCTCGAACATCAGCGCTGGCTGCAGGTTCCGACTAGGTTTACCCATTCTGGCGACCTTCTGCCGTCAACCGCACGTTGTTCTAAAAGCAGATCGGGACCGAGGCTTCTGACTCTTTGGGCTTTCGTCCTGTACAGCATGATGATCCTGAATTTTGTCGACACCTCAGTCTGTGGTACCTCATCATATCAACCCTGAGCGACTGCATCTCAGTAAAAACCTATAAACATATCTAAACCCTTGTTAACCTCGGGATTTTCGACCGTCTGAGGCCAAGTCCACCGCCTGTGGCCACAGGGTCATGCGCACCCTCTGACGGAGACCCAGCCACGCTGCGTGAGTGGCAGAGCAGCTAGGCATAGCCAGGCCTAGCATCGCTCTTCGCGGGTTCGCTTCCAGGCGCGTGGGAGCCTGATCCTGATTTTCCTCACCGTGCTCCGTGTCGGCCTCGGGATGCTCTCAAGACGAAAGCTCAACAAATTATAGGATTCTTTGCGTCTCTTTCATGAGGTTAATAAGAAGATTTCAGAAGTCGCTGGCCAGTCCTCCTTGATCCCTGTGTCAGGTTGCGGGTGAAGCTCTTCAATCTGTTGCTACCACTGTTCATGTTCACCTGGAATGCCATCGGCATCCACTGGGCCAGGCCCAGGGGGAGAACAGCTTTAGATTCTCTGGTTTTGTCCTCGCACCTCCGTGTCCATTAGGCTTGGAAGATGAATGAGACCTGCGGCTTGCTTAGCTTGCGCTTTGGGCCGCCGATGCCAGGCTGTCCACCGCGCCTCAAGTTCCACGGCTCGTTTGTCAAGAGGAAAGCCAAGGCCTGCATGAGTTCCGTCTCAAAAAGACGGTTGCAGCGATTCGCGGAAACCGTAGGAACCTCGGCACTGTCGTGCCCTGTCCCTTGCCATGGCGAGGTGTGATCGATGCCATCTTGGCTTTCGCAACGGTTAACATCGTGGCTCGGTGAGAACTAGTAGCCGTGATGCATCGTGATGCAGGCATGCACTGCACCTTTCCAGCTCCCTGAGCCGTCGCACCTCTGTGCTGTTCGTCTCAATTCCAAACGGTGGACTCTGCGAAATGTTTTACAGAGCCCGAGAGCAGAGACTTGCAGGCACTGACTGTGTTCATGTTCCTCAACATTGTTGGGCGACTCGGCTGCCTTGTGAGACCCTGTGCCACTGAGCGCACGTCCCAACCGATGGTTCGTCGTCCGGCCGGGCTTACACAAGCTGCAGTGACTTTCCAATGACATTTAGCTGCGGCCATTTCTGCCTGCGGCATCTGCAGGTTAGCCTACTTCTTTCGAATGCTTCTTCGAATGGGTGCGGGCCCAAGTAACGATTGGATATTCGGGCTTGCTAAGATCAGACAGGCTGCAGTTCGGCTGCTTGAAGGTTTCGTCACGCTGCATGAGCTTCGGCAGTTATTGCTGGGAGTACACATTCGTACGTCTTGTTTTCAAGAGCGCGGCCTTTGGAGAATAGTGATCGGCGGCCTCACCTCTCAGGAGTTGTCCAGTCCAGCAAGGCGGCACCGGAAGGGTCGCTGGAGGCGAGCACCGAGAAGGCAAGGTCTTCGTCGCGTCGCTTCCATGGTAGGAGGACCAAAGGCAGCCTTACACCAAGAGCTCACGAAAGAAGGGTCACGATCCTCTGCATCCGCATCGCAGGTCACTGCCGAAACAGCCAAACTGGGGGATTCTCCCCAGTGTCCCATCTGCCTGGAGGATGCACCGTTGCAGCAAAGCGTGTATTGTCGGAGAGTTGAGGTCAGACTGACGTATAGTCGCAAAAGTAGAGGGCTGGGTTATTGTCAGCAGACAAAGACCTGTGGGATGCTCTAAACTAAGCTTGCCTAACGAGCCGCTTGGATTTCTGACATCGTGGGTTAAGATGCCTTCTAGGGCTATGTGCCCTGCTGTCATTGGGTGATATGAGTCTCGCGTACGTGCATGTAAACAGTGTTTTGCGTGCTCTCTTCAGGACTTCTCCGACACTGATGAGTCACAGGAAATCTCAAGGAGCCAGCGTCCACATCGCGGTTCACTGTAAGTACAAGGGATGGCAGCAGTCTGCCAGAAAGCACCTAGGAAGCTGGGCATAGCTGTCCAACCCAAATACGGGTATCGCATCATTCTTTTCATTTTCGTTTCTTTGGGTGTTGGTGGCCGGCATGTTCTTGGCGTTCTGCATGGCCTGTCGCCGTGAGGACCTTGAAGTGCGGTCACTATTTTCACAAGGCCTGCCTCAAGGCCATGCCGTGACCCTTAGTGTTGTCGTGTAACGTTCCCATAGATGTGCGGTCGTCCAAGAGGAGAAGCCAGAGTCCACACTCAGTGACTCGGTGCAGCTCTGACAGGACTGGCTGCAAGTCAATCGAGATTCTTGGCTGCAGTTCGGTTCGATGTTGCGACAGTCCTTTAATTGTTTCTCAAAACTCAGGCAAGATGATCGTCGTCGTCGTTGTTGTTGTCGTCGCTGTCGCCAGCGCATTTGTACAGTGTAGTTGTTGTCCACCCCGTCACTTCCTTCACCGCCGCTGCTGCCGCTGCAGCATCTGCCGCCACCGCCACACCACTGCCAGAACCGCTCCCATTACCGCTACCACTCTGCAAGTACCACTCCTGCTGCTCCACTCCTACTAATCCTGCTCCTACTCTTCTGCAGCTACTGGTACTGCTACTCCTACTTCCTGGTACCACTTTCACTGCTGCTCATCTTGCTACTGCTACCACCATGACGGCATGCATCACCACCATGACATAATGAGACGATTACGGAAATTCGTATTTCGAAGATATTTCCGCCAATCACCACAAGCGGCTCTCGGTGTTCTTAGTGCTGAGGGGGGCTCGGCAAAATCTGGACAAGTATATTTCTATAAACACAAGCATGTCAGAGAGGGAAACCAGGTAGGCCCCCGAGTCCCTGTTTTAAATCCCTTGTTTTAAAACAGGCCATTGTTTTAAACTATTAGTTTAAAAACATCTTCTTCCTAGCACTAGATAAAAGTTTAAGCGGTAGAGAAGTCTAAGAAGCTCTCGTGCTAAACAACTCTTAAAAACCCCAAACCCCAAAGAAACCAACAAAGCCAAAACCACCAAACACCAAAAACATAAACATGTGGGAGACTGTAGTCTCCCGGAGAATTGTTTTTGACTGTAGTCTCCCGGAGAATTGTTTTGTGTTTTTGCATTTTCAGACGCTGGTTTCCCGCGCGGAGATGCCCACAGCTGGTTGGAGGTTTATGCCAACGCCAACCTTCTCCAAAATTCTGCTGAGGACAGACTAGAGTCGGTGAAGATATTTTTTTCAATGCTTAGGAAATCATAGGAAATCTAGCCAGCGCAGCGCAAGGTGTTATCAAATCACAAAGTGCCCAATTTTCGTGCAAGCATTAATCGAAAGCCATTTTTTCTGATGCTCAAAAACATTCTCGATGCATTTGTCTACTTTTCTATTGGATTCAACAAGCAGTTGATATCGAATGATAACTTAGCGATTGTTACAACGTCTTAAGATCCCCAGTTTCAAGCCTCATAGTCAATGTATTTGTGTAATATGTTGCAAATGCTTGGACACTGTGCCACTATACGTTCACACCAACCACACACCCAGTACATCTTTAGTATGTTGTACGTGTTGGACATAACTACAACAGGAGCGAATCATCGTCTACTACTTCAGGGCGGAGACAGAACACATGAAACATACAACCTCAAGGTTAGGTGTTTGTATAATAAATAGCCTTTAAGATGATTGCGGTATCGGACTAGTTTGCATTGCACTGAACAGTTTTCAACATCGGTGCAATATCAATTGCATACGGTTGGTCTTGTTCTTGAGTTTCAACAACATGTGCATTCCACATCAGTCAGCTGAACAACTCCCCATGATGAATGTTATTCAATATACAGTAATAACAATGGTTTTCCTGTTATTCGTATAGAAGAACAAAACTTCACGGCTTAACTACGACATACATGGTATGTTTGTCAAGATGGCATAGTGATACAGCTATCTAGCTCAGTATTGACCAATACTTAGATATCAAGTACATATTGAAGCGAGAACTGGTTGCATGCTGTTTATTTCGAGAAGCGAAAGAAGCCTCGCCATGATCCCTTTGTCGCCTGAGGACTGCCCGCTGTGCCGACAAGACTTGGCGAAGCCAAGTTTGGAGGCGAGATTGAGATACCCATAGGCCCTAAAACAGTTCCTTTTTGGGGTTCATATATTATAGAATCCTATAAGGTAACCCCAAAAAGGAACTACTATTAAAAAAAAAAGGAAGTACTATGGGGCCTCTGGGTACACCCTGAGCATTGCCATGCCGGTTTCTAGCTCGGCAGGCTGCCGACCGATGGGTCGGGACAGTCCCCAGTTCAGGTGTTGCTCCTCCCACTTACTCTGAGATGTCAGTCGCCGCAGTCATCCACCTTCGCAACTTGTTCACGGGAAGGTATTTTTGTTGAAGTGGTTCGCTGAAGTTGCATCATTCCGACATGTGCCCCTCACTCTCCCAGGGATCTCGATGCTTGCTGGATGATTCTGGCTTTGTTGTAGATGCCGGCAGGCATCAAGTCGTTGTTACCTGTCTATTTGCTTGCACTTCCTGGGGAACTCTTCGTGTTGGCTTTGGGAATTGGGCACGCAGCAGCTTTCAGGAAGTTACCGTATGGAGTCGATTGCCCTCTACTGCAAAAGCCTCCAACCATGGTAGGCAACGCCGGCGGAGTCTGCCCATAGCAGCGATCTCCCAGTCTGAGACGAGGCAATGTGAAAGCAGGGTGGCCATTGGAATCAGTGTGGACGCTACCGGTGTTGTCTGTTGAAAGATCTTTAAATTAAAAAGCAAGCGGGCCCAGTGTTGTCCAATCCATCCACTCTTTCTCTTTGGTCTCCCTCTCTCCCTCTGTCCCTGTGCCCATATGATTCTGTATGATTTCAGCCGCTTGCATACATCAGTTTATGAGGGATGTGAACTCCAACAGCCATTCGCCAGGAGTCTTTGAAGCAGCGGCCAGTGAACGCCTCGCCGCTCGAAGAGCGGAGAGTGCGGAAGTGAGAGCTTTTGAATTTTCATCACTGTTTTAGTCTTTGACTTGTCGATTGATTGATTTCTGAAAGCTTCGCAAGCGCGGAACACGGATATGTTGGCTTATTCATTGCTTTCTGAGTTTGGAGCTGATCCAGGGCGGGTTTGCAAGGTTTCTATGGCTTACTGACGGAGTTGCACGGCTTCATAACCTGGTAAGTGCCGCGACGCGATCGGGATCTGTGCTGCTTCGTAAAGTGCGGAGCCGGTCCGGTCATCTGTTGACACTGATGGTGGGACACACGCGACAGAGTCAACAGAAAACCACATTCTCTGCAAATTGCAGAGCGTCGGTAGTTAGTCGGAAGAGGGAGTCTCCGACAGGCCTTTGGAAGCCCAGAAACCCAAAGCTCGACGACCTGTCTGGATTGATTCTCCTCTGTGGATTGTCTCCGCCAGAGACGCTTCACACGCGGGCGGCTCTAGATTCCAGCTTCAAAGAAGAAGGATCCAAGGAACATTGTGCAGGACCACTTCCACTGCATGTGGGGTTTGGGGTTCGCCAGCCGGTAAAATGGCACGAGCGCAGAGACGCAGTGAGAGGCCGCAGCAGAGCAACAGGGCAACAGGGCAAGGACAAGGTCCGTTCGTCGCTACCCGCAACCGTTGCTCGTGGCCCAAGGGACTGATTCACGTCCCATCGATTTAGGGTTTCTTCTCCAGGATCCAGGGCGCGCAGGACTCCGACAAGATGCCTGCAGTGCGGCTTGCTGCCGCGACCAGCAGCCCGATATCTTGCACTAGAAGCCCTTAAGAACACGAACGGCAATAATTTGTAAGCGAGATTGGTGTTTGCAGCGCTTATTTTGTAGACCTGTCCCAGCTAGCACTCAAGTCACTCGGGCCTGCATTGCCTAACATTCCGGCTGAACTGCAGCAAGAATTGACCGCCTCGCCATTGCTGGTCCAGGATCCGGATTCGCATCTGCGCGCCGCAGGTCCTCGCGCCAGTTTGCATCATTACAGGAATCATGAAGGCATTGTAGGCGCTCATGATGCCATCTACCCAGAAATACTCAGAATCGACTCCCCATGAACCACCGAATCTGCTGCCATGGCCAGGTGCGATGATTTTCGAATGGCAGGAGTTCTTCTTCTCGTTTGCCGTGCTCGGGCACCTGATGCACGCTTGTGTCTCGCTACGGATGACTTCGTTGACGGCCGGGATGCTACTGTCTCAAAGTGTGGCTTATCTCTTCTGTCTAGGGGCACCTCTCATGACCCCCCATGAGTAGGGCTTCGGCAAAGGCCAGCACTGCCCGACGCATGAAGCCGTCCATGTTCACTTCCCCATGTCTTGGCGTGACAGCCAGGCCTTACATGATGACCTACGCATGGCTCTTGCCTTGGTCGATTGTGATTTGTGTCGCTTGAAAGTTTGGGATTGCGTGTGGGGGCCAGGGAGAACTTAACGCCATTTGCCCCTACACAGCTACTTCGGGCAGGTCGCTCAGCTTTTGGGCGCGTGGCTGGGTCGCAAGAGACTGTCTCCGAGCTGACGAGAGTAAGTCAAGTTAGGAATTTCGCTTTTTTTTTGCAAGGCAGTGTGCAGCAGATTGCTTTCTGCAAACGCATTTGCTGAGACGTACCCCTGACAGTAACTGCTGGACTTAACGAGCAGGTTGAGGGGAGGATGCAAGTGGAGTGATCAGGTCCCCTGCAAAACTCAACGCTGCCATAGCTCACACGACGGGCGGAGATTTTACGCGCAAGAACAAAGCAAGTCTTCGAAGTTTGTGCTACTTGGGTTTGGCACCTTCGGCTATGGTACATGTGTTGTTAAAGTGTCATGCTCAAGGCGTTCTGTGCTTGGGCCTAAGGCCTAAGAGCAACAAAGGAAAAACTTCACATGTACACATGACAAGCACTGCAAAGGTGGCATGCACTTCAGCAGCAACCGTGCTAGCTCTGCGTAGACATGGGCATGAAGCCGGTGGTTGGGAAACTGCAGAAAGCTTGAGCTTGCTGGGTTTTGCAGGTTTGATGACGAGACCTTTCCTGCATAAGGTTCAGGCTGTTGGCCTCCCCTGTGGCAACGCTACCGGTATCCTTGGATGACATACCCTAAATTCGGAGACTTTCCTCGCGGAAGGTCTATGCACCGGCTTTGTAGCACTGAGCCAGGCAGCAACTCAGGTGGGGCTTGCAAGATGATGGGATATCATAGCACTGATTGCTTCCCATATTCAGTTCACAGCCTTTGCAGAATCATCTACTGCAACAGGCTCTTGATTCTCAGGTATTACGATGCTCGCTCTTGCTGCCAGGTCATCCTCGTCAGAGATCCAAACGAGTCCATGGGGATGGTCAGTTCCAATCCCTTTCCCTTCGGGAACAAGTCCCAGGCCATTTAAAAGACTGCACTTTTTTAGGACTTTCGGATGTTGGAGTTTAGGGCTCCAGTGCGCGGGAGTGTGCGCATATTGTAACAGTTTTTGGTGATCGTCTCTTTAATTTTCGGGGCTACGGATGCTGAAGAGGTGCTTTTGACATCCGCCTCTCCTCACTTGGCAGCTTTCCTCGGACCACGCTGTCTCAGGAGTACATTGCCTGGCCAAAGACTTAGTTTGCGTCGTTATCATCGATGACGTCTCCAGGTTTCCAGAGGGTAAGGTTGAGAGGAACGCCAGGAACTTCACCACCTGCTGGAGTGTCAAATAAGTAGAGAGTCGGTGGTTTTTAGACGCATGCGTGCGAGCAAGTGTGGAGCAACTCATCGATGCCGGCATTGCGAGCGTCGATGCTTGAAGACTCATCTTTTCGGTCACGGCAGTGAGTTCTCACAGGTACAAACCTCCGACCAGCAAGACCGGCTTTACAGATCGAACAATGCGACGAAGACTTCAGCATTCCAGCGTTCGTCGTCAGAGAGACGAGCAACACCGAACAAATACTGGAGAGGGGTCGTCTGAAGTATCTCCGCGGCCTGCCCGATCCCCAAACCCTGGTCTAGATGCCACAAGCTGGCCTGAAACCCTCCCTACCACCATCTACACCATCCTGCCCTGAACCTTCAAATTCGCCTGATCGCTGCTCAGCTGTGTCGCTGCTGGCGTTTGTGGTGCTCTCTTCTCAGCCTGCGCCTAATAGCTTCGCAAATCCAGCAGAAGTAGCAGCTTTCACCAACCCAAGTGCTTTGTGACAGGCTGCTTCTTCAAGGTCTGCTAGTTCTGGCAGATAGAGTGCTTTGACGCTGTGGGAAATCATTTGCTGGCTGGCTGTCCGAGGCGTTTTCTGAGCCCATCGGCCTTTTGATCATTCAGCTCTGGGGTATATTCTCCGCGACTTGGATCAGAATTTGGAGTTCGGTTACGGCATTATGACCGTTGACAGCAGGTTGGGCAGGCAGGTGCAGCGACTCAGTGAAGTGAGTTTTAAGCATGCTGAAGCTGCTCTAGCTCCTTTTTCTCGAAGATATCCCCCGGAGGTTTACACTTGGGCAGCCGTCAGGCGCGTCGCTCAGCTTCGCGTAGGAGTTCCCCGAGCCACAGCTTGGCGTAGAGTGCGGCTTCGCGAGTTTTCGAGTGCAGATCTTGCCGACACCTGCAGCTAGGAGCGACAAGTTCATGCCGCTCAGCGAAAGCCAAGCCGAGGCCCGACAGGAGTGGCCGGGAGTGGTGTAAAAATAGGGGCCTTATTTAATGATTAGAATGGGAATGGGGTATATGGGGTTGGGGGTATATTATGCTATAATTCTGATAAGGACAAGGAACCCCAAAGGCCCCTACATCAGGGTATCCAGGACTTAGATTGATCTCATATCCTGAGCTTGACTGCAGGCGCAGCACGCCTTGCAGCAGGCCTCTGGCTGGAAGGACTGCTCTGTTACTGGCAACGCCAACGCTAGATTCTAAGACCTCCGCCTGCGAGTATTGAACGTTTGTGGTGCAAATTTTGCCGAAGGCGGATGTTGTTTTTCTGCCTCCCAGCGGGGCAGCCGGGCCGGCCAGGACCGGTTTGACAGTCTCTTCGGCTCCTCGGACACATCTACACATTTCTGGGCCATGTGCTCGGATCGGGCGATCGGGTTCGCGAGTCTCATGTGCTGTGAGGCCCGGGGTGCCATGGTCATGCTCTGGTCACGTTGTTCAATTTTGCTTCCATGCGATCTGCCGTGATGCCAAGATGATCATCTCCATGGTCCTCTGTGCCCTTTCCGTGCTCCTCTTCTTGTCCCGGCTCCTCGTGAGGCAGAGACTTTCTCAGACTTCATTGGAGCTTCCCGGGCTCACAGTACAGTGAGTAAGAGTGAGATGTTGAGCGGCTGACTCGCAGCTTCTGGGAGGCCTCCGAGGAAGCTCCTACACTTCCTGGCTGGGGTGTTCGGGGCTGCCTGTGGTGCCCATGCCACGGTTCAGGCGGGAGCAGATCCGATGTCCAGCTGCATCCCGGGCCCTGAAACCATCTGTGGGTTCCCCAAAAATAGGGGACCCTAATATAGTACCCCAAACCATAGGATCCCTATTATAAGGACCCCAAAACAAGGTACCCCTATTTTCGGAAACCACCATTTGTTCCATTGGCAACTTCGAGGCTATCTACTTCTACTGGAATTCGGATGGCAGCGAAGCACCGCTGGTGCTTTGCCTCGGAGGAGACTGCTTGACTGTGAGGGCGTTGCCTAGGTCGTTGCCTAGATGAGGCGGCATCACGATTGTTAAAACTACCCATAGGCCCCATCCCCATGTTTAGAATCCTATAAGGTAATCCCAAAAAGGAAGTACTATGGGGCCTATGGGTACACTGCCATTGTAGCGGTTAAGTACAGCATGGAATGGAGCCTGCAACTTCAACATCTAAGCTGCAGCAGTGAGGTTTATGGGCTCATCGCGGGAAATCGCGACAGGCCACCAGAGTCATCGGAGCGACAGCATCCTATTTGCCCAGCCGATGTTGTTCATTCTATCTTCTATCCTGACTGTGAAGCGTGTTCTGGGTTCCGCACATTTGTGGATGACTATCATGGTAAGGAGCTCCATTTCGCTGCTCGGACGGCCAAAGCCCACAAAAAACCCTAAACCTAAACGGCCTCAAACATGGCAGGTGGTGCTCAGACCCTTCCTCATGCAAAATATTTTATTCCACTTACTGTGTCGGAGGCTGAGGCTTGGAATCGTGGGCGTCCATGCCAGCTATGCTTTCTGTTGACACACAGGCCTAAGGTTTGTGTCACTGGGACACTCCGGGCTAGATCCCCCTTCATTAACCTTGGAGCCCAGATTTTGATCATTGTGAGCCTCATCACGCAGTACCTGGTGTACAGCGGCTTCAAAGAGGCGACGGACAGTCCGACAGTCTGAGGGTCCGAGGCGACATGCCTGGCTGCTTACAGCACAGTTTGCAGTCGAGGCCCTGGAAGCGAGCCATCATGGAACGATCATGGTTCTTTGGAGCTTCTGCTAGCAATGCCCTGTTGGCACTCGGCGCCAGGTTTGGAGCGACAAGGTTTATGCAGCAGTACCCTTCAAGCACCCTCGGGGCAGGACCACCAGCTGCTAGCTGCTCCATAGACCTTTTGGATTGAGAGTGGTGCCACAAACCCGAGCCTGAACTCTCTTTAGTGACTGACATCATGCTGCACCGTCATGTTACGTACGGCTTCACTCACATGCGCCACAGCCCCGCAAAACACCGCTCTTGGGGGCACCGAGGTAGAGTAGTTTGTGGGGGTTGCTGGGAAGTGCTACTTCTGCTGTAGTTGTCTAACTACTGTAATAGTTTGAGCATGACACACTCGATTACATTAGCTCCAGCTACTTGAGGGATGATAAAAACCCAGAGAGCATCTTTAAAGTAGAGAGCAATCCAATTCCTTGTAGAACGATACGAGATCAAAAAAAACAAACAACGATAACCAAGATGTTCGTAACCCTAGCTCCGGTCGCTTGAAGCAGTTTCAACCCTCTCTGGTAGGGAATCTGTGCCGCTTCAAGCATTAGGTCCTCTCTGGTAGGGAGTCGGGAGTTTGCGCTGCTTCTTCGGCCCTCTCTGATGGGAATCTGTGCCGCTTTAGGTAGTTCAGGCTTGCTCTGGCAAGACAACATAATTTCCCGATCGAGACAAGCTTTTGGCTAAGCTTGAAGCGAGCCAATTTTGGGACGATGACAAAACGATAACAACTCCAAAGAGTAGGCATCTTCGACCCAAGGCACATTCTGTCTATTTCGACCATCACTGCTACTGCTACTGCTGCAGCAGTCGCTGCTGCTACATCCTACAGTCCCAAAGTCCTGCAAAGCGATAAGAGTAAACAACACGATAACCGAATTAAGAGTCAAGCAAATGGGTGGGGGGTTTTCACGCACCCTCCAGATGATATCCCTGTGAGTCTCTAGCGGCATCAGGTCACGATGAGCCAGGCAATATGCTGCCCAATCAGCTTCCAGTGATGAACCTCCTGTCAGGACTGTGTCTTTCCGGGACGATAGCGAAGCAAGCAGCACAGACGAAGAGGCACAGAGGGCATCAAAAGTGCGTTACAAGCTGGGCAGGCTTGAGGGCAGCCGCAGTGTCGCTGCGCCGTCCAAAGCATAAAGGTAGTAGTGGCGCCTTCTCCAGTCAGAATATTTCAGAGTTGCACAGGCTTCAAAGGTTTTTTGGCACTCGCCTGGGGTGTATGTGACGAAGCACAGACGATCAGAACCGATCAGTCTACACGTGTTCGTTGCTTGGAAACACAAGCCTGTAAAGTGATCTTGTCGTGAGCCCGGAACTCCCAGGCTCAGCGATGTACTCCTTGCAGAGGCTGCGCTGTGGATCAGGCCGAATGGCAAGTCAGTCATCATTATGCGGGATTCTTCGGAGAAGCCCAAGCTTTGTGCGCATCTCACATGGCTATGTAGGGACCAATCGCCAGACTGCTTCGTAAGGACGACCAGACGGACACTTGGCTGTCAAACCTCCACACTCCGCGCTCCTGCTGGACCCCGGGAGGGTTATGTGCACCTTGCAGCAACGAGTCTTGAATTCGAAGACTGTTATGATCAAATGACAACTTTCGAGCCAAGCATGTGGTGCAATTTGGCTAAGTGTTGACGCGGCATTCGGCCAGCCTCCCAAAGCCTGCGGGCAAAAGGTAAGAGATCGCAAGAGGTCCTGAAGCATGGCAAATTGCCGTTGCTCCCCAACGCGTCAGTTTGGGTGTGCGGGCTGTCAGCCCGCAGCGGCCAGCGGCCTGACGCCGAAGCAGATGATTTTCGTGCAGGCTGTCGAACAAACGGGTCAACTTCGGCTGCTGGCTGATGTGGTGAAACGGGTTTCCGGTGGGCTGGAAGCCCGCAGCAGCTAGACGTGCGCAGTGGCCTAATGCGTTGAAACCGACGAGTTTCGAGTGGACTGGCAGCCGGGGGTTGGATGTGCTCAAGCGAGTCGATTTCCGGAGAGCCGGATGTACCCGCAGAATCCAAACTGGCCAGCAAAGCCTCTTTCTGGAGGAATAATATATGCTTGGGTCTGCTTTGAATCATTATCCAGGATCTCAGTGCTCCATCTGTTGACCTGCCTGCATGCATCAAGCGGCTGCGGGCAGACGAAGCGAACTGTTTCGGCGTATGAGGCCGCTGCGGGCTGCCAGCCCGAACCCCATATTGACCACTGCCTGAATGCATGAAAGCAAGCGGATGTCCAGAACGGGTCCGTTTCGAATGAGAGCTGCGAGCCGACAGTGGTCACGTGTGCTTGGACGGATCGGTTCGGTGTGGGATGGCAGTGTTTTTGGTGTGGCCCGCCCCCCAGCCGGATCAGTTTCGGGTGTGGCAGCGCCAGCGGCAATCATGTGCTCAGAAGAGCTCGTTGCCGCAGACGGGGTTCCACAAGAAGTGTATCGCCTTTGTGCGAATATTCTAACACAGCATATTGGGCACCAGCTGTCTTTGGCCGAGCTTGTGTTTCAGTTTGTGCTGCAGGATTTTTCTCACGGTCGTCGTTACGATGTCTTGCGTTGCCAGTGTATGCTCTGGACTCAGCAGGATGAAGAAGCCGACTATACAAGCAGACATGCTCATGCTTTCGTGCTTGCCAGTGCGCTGAATCGCGAAGGCATCATTCAGTTTGATGGCGGGGAACGGGTGTGAGCTGGTAAGAGCAAGTACGTCAGGTCGGTAAGTGTTACTGCTACTAGTTACTAGTTACTAGTATTTTTGCCAGAAGCTTTGCAGGAGATGCCCCTCGAACTCTAACACCCCGGATGTGCCATGGAAGAGACGACTGAACATCACGTGCCAGAGGCTTCACGTTCATCGTCAAGTGGGCCGGCACGACCAACACCAACTTCCTCGTCGCGTTGGCGACCTAGCGAAAGCCGAGAAGCCTCATTGAGCTCCGTGCGTGTCAACGACCCGGGCCGCACGCAATGTGTGTAGGCTGTCTAATGTACTTTTTTCATTGGGACATGTCTTGAAATGATATATGCTTGACGAGTAGATGCTGCTTGTATGTTAGATTGTCAGGTCATAAGCTCTCAGATACAGCATCTATTGCGTACAACACGTTTGTGTCAAGCATGTTCTAAATTCTTCTCTATAACGTATGATGATGAAAAGGGACTCCGCACGCGGCCGAAAATCCCACCCCGGTGCAACCGGCAGATGTAGGGAGGTCAAATCCTGCTGATTGCTGGGGCGTTTGACACGGTCCAACATCGGCTGAGGTTGATATACATCCTGACCAACGCCTTCTGCCTTTGGAGCATCATCGAGTTTTTTGTGTTGACGCTGTGGTTTCACGTGGTCAGTGGCTCAGCCGTGAACAGATATTGGAGATGTCCCAAATCGTCTCAAGGACCCTTTGGGGCGAAACGCTGTTTAGCAGAGCCTGCCCGGTCGATGGCCTTTGAGTTTGCCCTCAGATTCGACTCTTCTGCGGCATGCCGCCCTTGCCGAAGATGGACTTCAGAACTGGTGTGCCGGTGCCTTTGACCGGCTCTGCGGTTGAATGCTGACTTCCCATGTCTTTGTGTGTTGTCTTCCGTCTGCACCATCGATCACCCAAAAGGGAGCTATTTTCGGGAAATTAAATATCGCAACGTAATAATATCAAGGGGATCGGGGCGAGGAGCAGCTGTTGCAGATTTGCGCTCGTGCGGTGTGCCTGTGATGTCGCCCCTTAAGGTTGAAGTTCAGAATCGCGTAGATGAGACAGCATGATCTGCATCCGACGACAGATTTCGATCCAAGGCCGGCAAGAGGGCGGACCATCATGGCGTGCGCAAGTTTTAGATGGTACACAGTATAATCATGCTCCTGTTCGCTTGCTTGCCCTACAGGTACTGCTTATTGTCCAAGTCCGAAGACAGCTCCAAGGAATGCTTCGAAACTGCGCGAGAGGCGCGCGAGATCTGGGTGCACTTTGAGCCGGACTGGGCAGCTGTAGGCACCGGAAGCAAAGGTGTGGTCAATTCTCTGCATAAGCCCTGGCCGCAGTTTGAGCCTCCGAGTGACCTCTGTACAGCGCCGACTGTCCAGGCGCATTTGGCCAACCTGGATCCAAACATGCGCATCACGACCAGCATAGTGAGTGTTCCGACCTGAGCTGTCATGCAAGAGGTTCTCAGGGGAGACTGCGTCGAATTAACAGAGTTGTAGCGCCCACGAAGCCTCAGCACAAACCCTGCAAATCCCTGCAATTCCACGGGGTGAAGGGGTTATAAGAGGTTGTGCCGGAGTGGGGCAAGGGAATGTCTTTTGCACTCCGAAGCAGGCCTCCGTCTTGCGTCCCGAGTAGAATGTGAATGACACTACTGCTCTTCAATGCTCTTCATCTAATCTACTTCATATTTTCAACTTACTTGTCATTTTAGGCTACCAAGTAGGTTTGTTGAGCTTGCCTTGGCAGTGCTGTGCCTGCAGTCTGATGCAAAGACGATGGACAGCGTCGGGATTTTGGCTTGTGCAAGATGGCTGTGTGTTTCCATCCACTGCGTGCGTAGCAAACCTGACCGACTTCACCACGGGCTTTGGACTTTCGATGCTTCCCTTCGCCATCACCAGAAGTGGAGCTGTCGGGTCAAGTCATTCCGATTTCAGGTCAGTTGTCAGGTCTGGGTAGAGTATGTCTGGCTTGTCTGGCTCGGCATCCGCAAGGCCATAACCTGTCAACAGATATCTAGATGGCCCATGAGACCAAGACGGAAGGCAAATTTGGTTTGTAGCGGTGATGGGAAACCCCGCACTGCAGTCACGACCAGTGCTTCCAAGCAGGTAACTTCTGCCCTGCACCTTGTCAAGAACGAGCTGGATCTTCGAGACCGGTGTCGTGCAGAGATCCGAGAACGTCTCACAGGCAGCATGATGCCAACCTGGTCAGGTAGATGAGAAGCCAGCTTAGGCTTAGCGGTAGTTCATTGAACCCAAAACGCTTGAGCAGTGGACGCGGAGGGATCCGATGACATTTTGGACTCGAGCTGAGGAGCTCGATGCTCGATGTAAGACATGATGACTCCAGCTCGGTTCGAGTGAGATTCGGCTTTTCTCCGTTTCCCCTCAGCTCGCACGACAGCTGAGCCCACTTGCAGTCAGGAAAACTCACGATCGCATAACGCAGCGTGCACAAGAGCACCGAGGAGCACCGAGCAGAACCAAGAACGTCCAGGAGACAACCACCCGAGGCTCCGAAGTGCAGCCGCTGCAAACGGAGAAGTGCACGAATCCTGTGGCGGGACCGGGAGAGACACCATGGCGGGAGCAGCGAATCTTCTGAAAGCCCGCGCGAACGAGCACCACGACGTGAGAGGTCAGAGACTTCCTTGGGCAGGCACGGGACTGCGACAGACGAGGACCTGAAGCGTTTCCACATCATGATGATATGGGACCTAGGCCACTACAGTCACTCGTCTAGGCCTTAGGCCCCTTAGGCTGTGAGGTCGCCTCATCCCCCCCCAGTAGGAGCGATCCCATGATATGCAGAAACCAAAGCCCAAAACTTTGAGCGCCACTTTGGCGAGAGCACGATTCAGTAAGCTCGGAAGTGCCGAAGTCATAGATTTGGCAATGCCATGTGCGTGTTGAGGATCATGTTCGCAAGGGACTGTGGCAAGAACACGATATTGAAAGCGACACTCTGCACAACGATACCGCGCGGCCCAGAACGATCCCCAGAGTCCAACTTGCAAGTGTGTAAAGTATAAAACGAAACGGAACGGCCTGGTTCGTGAACTCAGGAATGAACGCTTTGACAGCATTCCAACCACAGTTGCCCGATGTTGCCTGTGCATTGGCTTTGCATTTGTGTCAACCACACAGGTGAGATGAACGCCATCCTGCAGATCTCTCTCGTTCGGATCCTGGCAGAACTTAGGGACTGCCCACAACAAATCGTAAAGACATACATGACAGTATATATAGATCCACGGCGATCCACGTATATCGGTGGCTTGTTGTGTCCGCAATTGTCAACAACTTATTGCATCACGGAAAGTCCTACGGTGTGAGATGCCTGAAACATGCCTGAACGTTAAGTTCATGTCCTGTGCGATGTAGGCATGGTGATGTTCACCCACAGGTCATGTCCGACTGCAGCAGCTCACTTTGTTGCCAAACCTCAGGGCCGACTTCAGCACGTGAAATGCTTGCCTCCACAGCCACCTGTAAATTTGGTGTATAATCCGGCAGAGCACGCAGCTTGAAGAATGAGGGCTTCCTGGATTACATTGGATTACAAAGACGTCGCAATTGCTCCGTTTCTACAGGGTTTGCGCGCTGCATCCGCTTAAAGGCGAAGCAAGGCGCGATCGATGCTAGTCCGATAATGCCATTACTTTGCCCGTGCTGCCTTTTTATGCGCTCCATCCGCTCAATCGTTGCTCTTCTGCCATGCCACATGGAGGTGGATGCCCTTTACGGTCAAACTCTTCCCAGTCACAGCATGCAGCCCTCACGGCGGCTTTGGAATCGCCTGTAATGCCTCAAGCATCCTAGTCACGTCATTTCTGAGCCGCCGTTGTCTTGCCATCTGAGACACCAGGCTGACAGCTACGATGACGAGCATAGGAAGCACGTGCGCGACGTGCTTCAGGCCCAGAGCTAGGGAAGTGGTGCGGCATTGTGCAGCAGGCAAGCACGGCATGGGTGTCCAGGGTTTATCTCTCTCTCACTCTCTCTCTCTCTCTCTCTCTCTCTCGAACTCAATCTCTCGCTCTCTCTCGCTCGCTCTTGCTCGCTCTGTCTGCCTGTCTGTCTCTCTCTGTCTCTCCCTCTCTCCCTCCCTCCCTCCCTCCCTCCCTCCCTCCCCCTTTTTCCGGCCTTTGAGCCCCACACCTCATTGCTGGTTTTGCGACTTCGATGTGAATGACCGACCGTGTTGAGGTTTATACCCAGGGCCGAGAGCCCCACCTGTCCTTCTGATCAGAAGTGTAATCGGCGCAATGGTGCGACTTCGTTGTGCATGCAGCTTGCTTCCCCTTGCTTCACAGTCGCCTTTGCGCAGGCCGTCTCCGAATCATCAGTGGGTCGCCTTGACTTCTGGTCAGAGCCCTGTCCGTGTTGGCAGTGTGCAGTTGTAGCGGTCTTCCCGAATGCGCCTGCAGCTTTTGTTTCCGGGCCGGAGTGTGTGTAGTGAAGCCGAGTTAAGCCAAGACATGCGAAGACTGCGTTCGGCCCAAAATGAGAAGATGCACTGCCGTCTCAATTGCGTACCTCCGAAGCGGCAGGCTGACCCTCATTGAGCCGGGCAAAGGCACCCCGGATCCTGTGGTGGGACAGTTCAAATTGAAGTGTCGAGAATGCCGCTCAGATTCCTCAAATCCGCTTGAATCAATGAGTCTCCTGCACTCTGGAGCAGAGTTCAGTTGCACCCGGCAGCGAGCTGCACCGGTTCACGGAAACGCTGCGAGCAGTAGAGAAACCAGTTTCCCAGCGTTGGTCTTGTGAAGGTCCGGTCGCTCAGTTGCCACAAAGACTGGCAGCCGGGTGCCCAGCATGAGATGTCTGGGGGCCATGACGATCAGTAACTCGTCCCAAGCAAAGCTCAAACCATCTCAAACCCACGAGCCTCGAGCTTTCTGGCGCAGAGGCCAAAGTGGACGAAGCCGCCTGGAGCTTTGATTTCAGCTCTGCAAGTGGCCTGGTGGCTGTGACATGCTTCAGCCTGCTGTGAGCTGCAAGAAGCCATATGGGGAGTTGTCGAAATTATGGTCCCTTTTGGGGTACCCTAAATAATAGGTGCCGTATTATAATAGGATTTTGACAACCACCCATATGGACGGCAAGAGCTGCAGCTGCTACATGGAGCGCTTCATTGAACCCGAGCGTGACATTACCGGCCGTTTTGCCCTCATCTTCAGAAGACTGGTGAAGTGCTGCAACGCAAGTGAGGTCCACCATTTTGTTTATCTTCACAGGACGGCTGCTTTCCTCCTCCCGTATCAAGGGCTTGCGCGGTTCTGAGGCTTCAGTGTTTGGCATGGCCTAGCTAGGCTTTGGCTGGCCTAGCGGTTTTCCAGCCTCGCGGGGTTTATGTTGCGAGGTGTTGGAGGAAGATGGGGGAGTCCAGCCTTGCTCTAGAGACTGGCCGCATCGGGTGTTAGTACTTAGATCTGCTTCCACTGACTAACCATCACACCGTTCTATCGCATTTACCAATTCATGACTTGTCTTCGGTTTGCTATTGCTGCACCACCTGGATCACCATGGCACGATGGTTGCGTCTTGCACGGGGGGCTTTCTTCCACGCTTGTGTCCTGGCGTCGAACCACCATGGTTACAGACGCGAATATTCGCAGCACAGTCCCAAAAAGATGCAGTGCACTATCAGGGTGGGCACAGAAACGGGGGGGGTGGAGTTGTGGTTTTTTCAATTGCAGTATTCGCTGCACGGGCAATGGTTACTCTCCTCGGGGCGGCCATGACTGCAGGTTCTTTCTCAATAGAAGCGCTGGTCCGTGCGGAAGATCAGGGAAGCCAAAACTCAATAGTGAATTCGTAGCGAAACATACACTTTCATTGATGTTCACCCTTTGTGACATTATGTCGTGCTTCGGACGTACTTTGAGAGCATCAGCATCCGCAGTACATCGGCACCTTCATGTCTCTTATACGTTACTGGAATTATAACTTCCTGACTGGGATGTGTGCAGAATGTCTGCGTCCGCTGCCTTGGCACAGCAGTGCCACAGATGATGCCGTGTACATTCACCAACGGATGAGTGATGTTTGCATTACAAGTAGCACTGGTATCGCACAAGTCACAGTCTGGCTCCGGTGTTTGCGTTCAAAGGTTTGAAGATGATGGACGGAGCTGTTGAACACGGGACTTTGGGTTTGTTTTCCTGGGCTTCAGATTTGCATTGGTGTCTCTAGCTCTACACATAATATGAATTGTGCAGGCCCAGCGTGCAGCACAGCAGAAATCGAGGAAACATCCGATAATTCATGGGAGTTTCGGCAGACGCCATGCTGCAGTAGCCATGGCTACAGTAGTTTCATGCTATAGCCCTTAGGCCTTAGGCACCAAGCCTAAATTCACGTGCCTAGGCACTACACCAGGCTCGCAACTCCAGATCGTAAACAGAGGATGCTTAGAGGCAAGTCTACGGCTATGCCGAGCCCTCAACAACTTGCATCCAACTGGCTTCGCCCACCGTACTGCATGGAATACACATTCCCGGGCTCATCGCACTCACATTGCACTCTTGGCATCAGGACCTGCAAGATCCTGAAGAGCCTTGGCTGCATAGCGAGCACCTGCCAGAAATCCCAGGGCGTGTCAGAACTGCAACTTCACCTGTCTGCAGCTTGGAAGATCTGCCGTTTGACATTCGAGCCCTTCCGGAGATGTAGCCATCGGATTTCCGCAGAGTTTTTTGGCCAGAAGGACAGTGATTTGCGCCCTCAGTTGTATATGCTGTGTATATGTATATTCAGATATGACGACATTTAATTAATTATAATTATATAACAGAATGATAGTACCAACAGCCATGATGATGATATGGACAATAATGAAAGAACGAATAGGAATGAAGAATGTAGAGACTCCAGCTACCGTCCCTCAAACTTTCACGAATCGTTCGGAGCATCACTGTCACGTTGCAATCCTCCACACCAGAAAGGCTTACCGGCTTACCCACACATCAGCATTTTGACAGTGGGCAACAGCACGCTCAACTTCAGCAGCGAAGCCCACCATAAATTCAACACCAATACCAGTAGTTAAGCAAACATATTCCGCATGTGCGAAGTATTTCAGCACCTCACTTGAGTGGAATGTATCCGGGAATCCCACAGACCACTGAATTATTTAGTCCCGCCAAATAATGTTTAAAAAAATGTTTCAAAGTCTTAGTACAAATCGTGCGTGCAGCCCTGGCTGCAACGCCTCATACGGTGCCAACTCAGCTACAAGCTTAGGTAGCTGTTTGGCCATGGGCTCTTTTTAATTACGATCCCGATGGATGTCTTGAGATCGGATACATATTATATATATGTATATACGCACACACCTAACTAACATACATACATACATACATACATACATACATACATACATACATACATACATACATACATACATACATACGACATACATACATATGCCATTAGCAGCCGGAGACGCGGCGTCATGGCTGCAGCCATGATGCAGAGAGCACTCTCCAGGGCGCATCGTGCACATGGTGTCGCGTGGCTAGCACGGAGTTGTCTTATGTCGTGTTTGCTTAGCCGGCGTACATACGCGTAGTGTAGCCTGCGAGAAATGGATTGCAAGACCCTTGGTAGCGGTTTGACTGGGTCAGGTTTGCCGTTGCTGGCGATTGCTGCTGGCGGCTGGCGCCGCAGTGGCTCGGCTCGGCAATCGTGCGTGGACCCTGCAAACACGGCATCAGAAAGCCACAGCTTGTTTTTCTGCAAAGCAGCAGAGCATCATAAAGCATCAATACAACTGGCGAGGTGTTGCTGGGAAGGGCCACAGTCTGGATCCCGGGTCTCGGACACGTGGCTCGACGGCAGGAGCTATGTTGGAGTTTGTGGGTCTTGTTTGATTGATCTCTGGTTGCTGTGAAGCAGTGAAGCTTGCTTGGCATGTTAAGGTTTTCTCATCCGGAAAGGCGTGGAGTGGGTTTCGAGATAAGTTCCCATGCTTCAAGCATGACCAGCAGAGTGAAGTGTCGGACACGTGTTCCGGTGCGGTGGACCAAATGCTCTCCGAGGTTGCAAGCCGGTCGCCGACTACACGAGCCCGCACCACGGTTGCTTGGCCTTCCAGGGACCAGATGATATTTAAAGGGCCACAAGCTTGCTTCAAAAACCAACACTTACTGTACTGTCTCCCTCACACGGTCCCACCTCACGAGCACGCGACACAAATTCTCGACACACTCTGCCTCGCCGAGGGTGTCAAGCCTTCAATTAGAGCGAAGTGCATGATGGCTTGGTCAATGGCACTTTGCATGTCAAGAGGTTCCGATTGGCAGAGAAAAAAGTATGATAAGGATAGCATGCGGGATAGCGTCAGGAAGTTAGCACCCTTGCTGCGGTCGTGACTCTCGATGTGCTGTGGGTAGACGACGGAAGGAAGACACAGAGAAGAGACGAGCCCTGGCTCAGTGCACTCATGTGCACTCGCCAGAGTGGTGTCCAAGGCCAAAGCCCGAACACACGCTAATCCGAAGCGTCCGGCTCGTCAATCGAAAATTGACTTGCTTCTGTCTGCTCAACCTCGCGATCCCTCACGATTTTTTTGGGTGAGTTGTGAACCGCCGGGCTTCCTCGCAGCATCTTCCTGCCATTTCCTGCCTCTTGTGCTCGAATACTCGATTTGGCTTCATCGAGGGGCGTAGCTAAGGTCTCAAAACATGTATAGGCTCGTCAACAACTCTCTAGACGAACATCGGTCTCAAACTGACCTACACCTGTGGGCGGTGTCGAACTCCGAGGTATTGAAGCAGGCGAACAGAGAGATGGCAGAACAGATGGAAGCCTGACTCACGAAGAGGAAAGGGCTTCTTTGGGCCAAGGCAAGTCAGAGTTTGGATTGCCAGCAACGGTGGGCTGTCACACATCTGAGGACAGTGATGCGGATGACTTCTACAGTCGCTTGCGCGGCCATTGGATAGCGGTAGGTGCCAGAGTTTTTGGTGCGCTGAAACTTCTACCACAACCCGGCAGCTGAGGTCAGGACAACGAGGAGCTCATGGCCATGCTGATGTCTGGGCAAGGAGACGAGGTGGACATTCTGGGGAACGGTAGCCTGGTCAAGCTGCTCAGCTTGGATGTTCGGCCATAGCTGAGATTGAGGATCTTTTCTGGTCTGGGAGAAGCTCTGAGCACCGAGGAACATCATCTCGCCTGCTCCGGCCTTCAGCCGACGCCCTCAGCTTGGCGATGAGGTGCCCCGGGATTGATCGAGAGTATGAGCGCAAGTGAGCGATCCCTATGTTTTGTGAGCGTGTGCGTGTAGACCGAGCAACTTGAAGACCTCAGGGATTGTTTGAGTGGTTTGATCTCGGAGCTTGATGCCGAGCGTAATATGTAACTGACGCAGTGGCTGATTTCGAAGTGCCACTTTGGCTCACGTATAGGTGTGTCTTTTCTGCATATAAGTATATAGTCTTACTAAATGCAATATCTTTATATCATGTCATATAGACGTGTCGCGCTCCCCGATTCCCCCCTTGAGTGTGTAGGTTTGAGGTATTTTGAGGTTCAATCAGGACCTTTCGTGGGCAGGCGGCTTATGCTTGAATTTGTTCTTCCGGTGGATGTCCGACATTGAGGCTCCGTCTGCATGTGCATGCTTTAGTAGTAGTATGCGGCCTCTTCCGCCGTGCAGGTCACGGTGCACTTCATCGGATCCCTGGAGGATGGGACCGTGTCTCGACTGTATCATCACGGTGAGGATCACTAGAAACCAAAGGGGGGGTTCAGAAGTCAGCCAAGTGTGGATTTCACTCTCACTTAGGTCTTCGATGACACTCGTGCGCGACATGAGCCGTACACGTTCCGAGTCGGCTTGGGCTTTGTCATCGGTGGCTGGGACAAAGGTATCCCGACCATGATGAAGGGTGAGCCACTCGCTCCCAGTCCAGTATCAGTGTGTCACGCTGGTTGGGGAAGTAGAGTGATAACTTATAATCTGGGCATGCTGCAGCTGAACCAAACAATTCGGAGCTGTTCGCAGGAGATCGCTCTTTCTTATGGACTCGTCTGTGGCCTATGGAGCACAGGGGGCCGGATGGAAGATACCGCCAAACGCGACGGTGCGGTTTGACATCGAGCTTTTGGGCTGGGAGGAGATCGATGACATGGGTCCAGATGATGTGGAGCCGGAGTGGGAGGCTCCACTTGTTGGGCGAGACGATGTGGGGGAGGGTGGCAAGGGTCCAAATGGGAAGTATACATGGGAAAGGAATGGCTTAGAGGTCGTGGTGAAGGCGCAGATCCCGGACGACACGGTGCCGAAAGACATCCAGGCGGAGTTCTTCCCGAAGAGGATCTTCGTCTCTGTGAAGGGGGAAACACTTCTCACCGGGACACCTGGCCTCGACCTGGACTGGGAGGAGTGCTACTGGGCGCCTGGGACGAAGCATCGAATTGGCATAAGACAGGGAAACAAATCGCGGCGAAGCGCGAACTCGTACCAGAACCACCAAGAAGCATACATTGCAAGCAAGATAGGAATGGAGACCACCACCTGCGACCAGGACAGGGGAGCACCAAGAACCGCACACTGCATACATGATGATAGGCGTGGTTAATACCAAAGATAACACGCTACAAAAAGCAGACTGGTTCAGAGCGCCAAGAAGCACCGCTGCAAACAGAAAGAAGCGCACGCTGCAAAGAGCATAGGGGCACAGACCACTAGCAACACGCTGCAAGTAGAGAGGGGCACACAGCACCAAGAACAGGATCGGGGCAGAGATCACCAGGCAGCACAGTTTGCCAGCTGGATATGGATAGGGGCAGAGAGCACCAAGAACAGCACGCTGCAACCAGGATGGAGGTAGAAAACACCAATAAGCGCACTCTGCGAACAGACTAGGGCCTAGTGGTAGCGGTCACCAAGACACATTAAGTTTCTCGGGGTGCATCCGGTTTCGATTGCCGTACTCGGCATGCGACAATTGTTCCAGTCACTCGGCACAGAGCTTCCGCACGACAGCAAAGGATATGAGCAGGGAGGAGGAGATCCAGGACGACCCACAAGCCAAGCTCTGGTTGCTGCTGGGTTCCCAGTTGTTGGCCTTTGGGCATCAGCTCCTCTCGCATGCTTGATACCTGCCCCATTAGATCAAGATTGGCTGATTCAGGATTCATCTGCATAAGAAGGATGCAGAGACTCTTGCCTGAATTTGCATGGGGCGGGGGCGATCGCTAGCCCTTTCTCCCTCCTCCTTCGTCTTGTCAATTTCGAATTTCACGTGTCTGTTGATTTCTTGTTGCGATTGCCGTGCAGCTTCTGTGCGGAAGGAAGGTGCGCTGGCCAGACTTCCTCCTCCTTGATGAGCTCGAGAGTTGATCAGAAAGCGAACAGACCCAGGCAAGCAGTTCCCTGCATCCAATGGCTGGTGACTCCTGACCACTCAGCTCCTGAATGACTCTCGCACATCGGATCGGATATCGCCATGCGATACCCCTAGTCGGCAGCATTTACCAGGCCGCTGGCTCCTGGACAGCACAACTCGATGATGTGCCAGATAGGGACCATGTGGGTCCGCAAGAGATGGAAGAGGCGCAAAGATGGAAGCAGCGGAAACAGTGGCTGAGAGCTGGGTCCGCTCAGTCCCACAAGGCGAATGACTTGCAACAAGGACGCGGATGTGGACACGTGGAGCGAATGTCGCATGGCAGTTTTGGCTTTTGGGTAATCACTCAAAGTACCAAGCGGCCACGAGCGCTGCGATGATGTTTTGGCGTCTTCGTGCCGGAAACGCCAGACGAAGGGAAAGGCCGCCGCCTGCAGACGAAGGGAAAAAAGGCTAGGGGACAGCCCCTGTGAAATGCTGGGGGTGCAGCATATACGGCATGGTCAGGCTCTCTTAGCCTCTTCGTAGCAGGTCTGCACAGCGAGAACATGGCTGCAAGAACGGGGTTGCAGACATGACATGCTAACTTATGATAGCATCTTTTGTCCTTTTCACCTCCTAGGCACCCCCCCCTTCCCACAGTGTGAACAGAGGAATCTCCAGCGTTGCTGAGGAAGCCTGGGCAATACCAGGATCTGATGATCCTGGGATCCACAGGGACCTCCTCCCATGCGATGTACGGTTCTGCAGCCCTGGATGTTGATGTCCTTGAGACTGGTCATGTTAGTCATGTTAGTGTGCAGGAACAACCAGGCCTACACCTACCTCAACCTCGACTATGGTAGCATGGGCAGAGAGAGAGCCCGGGACCCGGTCGCGAGTCAGAAGTGGAAAGTGCAAGTCTCGATGGCGAAGCCGGCGCGGCCATGCATCAAGCCCTTGGTATGGCCATATTAAGCATTATTAAGCCCTTATTATAGCCATATTCAGCCCTTATTATGGCCTGCGGATGCCTTGAGGATAGCGACTGCTTCGGATTCTCCGGCAACGTGAGCGCCGGCCCGCAGGAGCGAACCGCCGGTGCTTCATCCTTCCGCACTGCCGCTCAGAAACATACATTAGGCCCATTAGGCTTGCTGTCTGTGAAAGCATGACAAGCAGGAGAACGGCAGCTTTGACGAAGTACCGTGCTCAGCGGAAGTCGTGAGGGAAGTTTTTCGGGTACACGATTTCGAGTGAATCCTGCTGCGAGGATGCTAGAAGGTATGTTGCAGCCTTTACAGCAATAGCCTGAAGAGTCATCGTCCCCGGCGATCATCGCTTTGGGGCAGATTCCGGGTCGGCATTGTTCAGGACAACCATCGACCGGGTCCATTCGCTTGTAGGACTGTGAACAAGGTCAAAGTAGCTCAGCAGTAACTGCATGAACAGTGTGTGAACCGGGGGACTTGATCACGTCAATCTCAGCTCGAGGCAGTCAAGCTTCTACAAGCACGTGGTCGGCCTGACGCACACCTGCCATTTGACCAGCGCTGTGTGGTGGTGGTGGTGGTGGTGGTGGTGGTGGTGTGGCAAATGACATGGAGCGGGATAGCAGTAACTTGGGGATGCAAAAGAGAACATAGTCGTTCTAGGTCTGAAAGATGAATCTCAACACACGGTGGTGTCTTAGCATGTACAAGAAGGAAGCTAACCAGCACAATGCAAACGACGTGCAGCAATGTGCCACTTGCGAGAGGTACTCATGCATGTGGGTATGATTGTGGGTATATGATATGTATATACACGCACGCATACACGTTACGTGGTGTACCCTTTTTGTTTGTGCATGCGAAAATAGCTGTTAGGGGTATTTCGGCCGAGCCTCATTAACGAGCCCCGAAAGGTAGCCCTCCGGAGTCATCTGGAGTCCGCCACAGAAGAAGTGAGAACCATACAAACACGGAGAAGAAGACATGCTGCCCGTGTGAGTATCTTCATTTGCTCCTGTTGCTACTGCTGCTACAAAGATGTCGAACGTCAAGTTGACGGTCACCACCTTAGGACCTTAAGACCTCAATGTCCCGTGTCGGCCAGATAGACTTGGTGGCGAGCTTTGGCAGCGATGCCAAAAATCGCTCCTGGGCTGCCTTGGGCTTTCGATTGGGCTGTTCTTTTGGAATGGGGATACAGGAGCCTCAAGAACAGAAAAGGTACGAAGGTCGAGGGCGAGTCATTCCTGTGGCAAAGTGCGCGAATGTACATCGCGATGCATGTGTGTGTGTGTGTGTTTATGTGCTGCTTGAAATTGTTGTTCATGGGAAGATGCTGTTTTGTCCACATTCTCTACGATTCGAGCATCCCCCTGCGTCAGAAGGATTTTTGGCTGGACAAAGCAGTCCAGCTCCCAAAGAAATGGCAGATGACGTAAGTTCTGCTTCCCATTCCAAGCATCCTTTCCTGGAGGATACCACTACACCATGGTTCTGGACTAAACCCTAACCCCTAAACCCTAACCCCTACTGTAAACCCTAAACCCTAAACCAGAAACCCTTTCCTGGAGGATACCACTACACCATGGTTCTGGACTCGGCTGCGGGCTCGGTGTCTGTGCCTCGTGGGACCGCATGCGCAAGCCACAGATCGGATGTCTCTTAGAAGAGCGGCTTCAACCTCGAACCCTCAAGCCACAAATCCCTTCATGCGTTTCTTGAGTTCACCCCTAAACCCCTAAACCCCTAACCCCTAAACCCCTAACCCTTAAACCCCTAAACCCTAAACCCCTAAACCCTAAACCTCTAAACCCTAAACCCTAATTCCTTACAGTAAACCCTAAACCCCTAAACCTTAAACCCTAAACCGTCTCTTCTTTAGGACACGATCTGCCCCGCCGGCAGCATCCGGCAGCTCATCGAATGCGCGGAGCATCCGGCCAATAGGCCAGGCCCCGGCGGCGAAGATGCGAAGAGAACGATAGACGCAACGACCCAGAGGACGGTCTACACGTTGGAGACTGTCATATGGGTAGTTCTCTAAATTAGGGTCCCTTTTTAGTATTACGTCCCCCTAATTTAGAAAACTACCCCTTTAGAACCCTTGCGTGAAGAATCTTTACTATGGGGGAAGGAAGATGAAGGAAGAGAGGTAGTCGAAGGCAGAAAGGAAGACCGGTCAGAGGCAGCGATACGTTTCATCCGGACGGGTTACTTGTACAGGGCCTTCGGCATTGTGAATGCCAATCTCGCCGTGGACTACACCAGCTCGGACTCTGCCGGCATCCTGGCAGCTCTCCTTATCCGAATTATCCAACCATGCACCGCGGCAGTGAGCTTCGACCAGACTGAGGACTGCACCTGGCACATGTGGCGCAACGCCCTGATGGAGGCGCGGATGCGCCTCGTTGCTTCAGTCCCGGCAAGACAAACGCGAAGTTCCTCAGCTGAGAGTTTTTAGGTCTCGACCGTCAACCTGGTCAGAGGGCAGCCGGTGCCTCAGACATCCTACAGGGAGTTGTTACCACCTACACCCGCAGCTGCAGAGTGCACATTGGCAGGTTTACTTTTCCATAGCATACTGACTAGAGTCTCCATCTTAGTATACCATACATCCGGAAAGTCCGCCATGTCTGCTTTGGTCGGGCTTGATGGGGAGGTTTGAGTCCAAGCTGGAGGATGTGCCCGCTCACAGCCCCAAACTGCGAGGTTCTGGATATTCAACCGAACGGGCTTCTACGGGAAGGCCTGAGAAGTGGAGTTCACAGGCCCTGTGTGGAATTCGTGCTCTTTGCGCAGGGTCTGGTGCGCAACTCCATGTACATCTCGAGACTCATCGGGATGTTGGGGCCTAAACGAGCAGCTGTAGATGCGTGCAGCTGCCGTTGTCGACAGGCGTCGTCCCATGACACTCGCTCTCCAAAAGAGCCATTCCCTGAAGATGTGTAGTATAGCGATTAATGAAAATCACTATACATTTCGTTCTTTCCTTCTGATTTTGCTCATGTTTCACTCTCCTCACACAGTACAGTAGCTGTCAATGTTCTATCATCATGTTACACCTTTACTAGTACGATCAGTTATATATATATATATATAAATTATATATATACATATATATATATATATATGTATACATATCCCGTTTCCAGAACATCTCGGTCGCGCTCTCTTGTCCTGGTTTGTACGGCATCGATTGAGGGGTCCTGAATCAGAAGCTGGAGTTCGCGTCGGGATTGTGGAAGTTGGACGCAACAACTCGTGGCGTAAGACGTTCCACTTTTCGATCTGACTGCTTCATTCTGCAACATCTCATTCAGCTGCCACACGTCATGCTAGCTTCAGTTTGCACGACACCTCTTCGACTTATTTGTGGGAAACGCAGGGCACAGTCAGGCATGTGTTCAGTTCGTAGTTCCGGAACCGTATTCATCTCAGTGGCATACTGCTCTTCAGTACTACCTGATTAATTATTGCTGTCGCTTTGAGCATCCTTCCCGGGACTAGGCCTGGGCGGCTTGTGGAAGCCTTGCCAATTGATATTCTCAGCCACGACACAGCGGGCTTCTCAGGAGCTCGATGCTGAACTGGCGTACTTCCAGCCTCCAAGCAGCTGATGCAGACGCTGAGGTAGAAGCCAAGCTGCTTCAGCCAGCGGTGGATATTGGGGTCACGCTCTACGAGGCCGTTTGGCACTAGCTCCCCGGACACATCGGAACTTCGGTGCTCTGTTGAACACTGGCTGTCAGGACGTGGCACGCAATCCCATCTCGGCACTTTCGCAGTCGACCAGATGGATGTTAGGTGAGGCATGGCCACGGCGGGGATGGGTGGAGTCCGGCAAGATGCGTTCCAGAGCAAGATGGCGTTGTACAGGTTCGCAACGCCTGCTACCATCCTGATGGATCATACCGCGGAATCATTTCGCGACTCGGCCGCACAACCTGGAAGATCATTCCGTCTTGCTCAGACGTGACATCCGGCACGGTTCAGAACCCAGTGCAGGGCCAGTTTTGCTGCATGTTGCTGCTTTATCCGGAGTTTCCGGTCGGAGAGAAGATGAGCAGATTGCATGTTTTTGTCAAGCCTGTGAGGTCACTGACCGCAGTGTGCGCCGGGGAAGTGGTTTGGTCTGGAAGCTTTGCTGCTGCGTGGGATTTGCCTGTCGCATGTACTAGTAGTGCAGTTGAGGAGCACTGATCAAGCAATGGTCATGCAATGTCATACGCAGCTCCTGATCATTCTGCGCTGAAGCCATTTCAGTCGTGCGACAGCTGGACAGTGTCGTCTCCAGGTACGCTTGCCTGGTCGAATGCAAGCCGAGGCTTGGTTATGTCACCTGCAGCATCTCTGGGAGCGCTGCGTACAGTCTGCACGGTTTTCCTGAATCCTCAGAGGCAGAAGGTCTACGTGCGCTGGCGGGATGTCCCGTGCTCTGTGGCTGCGGAGTACCTCTCGCACACCGGCTTTAGGCGCTGCTGCGGGTTGTCGATCTGTAGACGAGCTTGCAGCTGCGATAACTGTGGCACAATCATCTTGGGATCATCTGAGCCTCGCGGGGGCAAGCCAGAAGCTTTTCTGTCATGAAGTTTTGATCTTGCTGCACCGAGCGTGCTCCATCGCAGGCTCTTCCACGCAGGCCCCGGAATCCTGCTGGTCAACATTGCCCCATACTCGGCTCGATACAGCAGCTGCGCTTGAATTTTGTTGGGCCTGACTTGGTGCTAGAGCCAGGACGGCAGCGGGAGGCCGCAATTCCTAGGCATCAAAATCATAAGCAAAGGACCAACCCTTCGAAGGGACGTCCGACGGGATGAGAAGCCCGCGCATGAACCTGCATGCTGTGGACGCGATGCCACTCTGAAACTGCCTGTGAGCTTGAGGCGACGTCCCTGCTAGCAAATCAGGGGTGGCTCCTGGAGCTGAACGTGCTTCCGGCCAAGTTCTCAGTGCTTTGTCCTTGCTGGCAAGTAGCACCGTGGTATTTCCGTCTCTGAGACAGACGTCCTGAAAGCCATGCGAAGATTTCAGGAAATCCTCCAGTCCATATCAGTCCATGACCTTGGAATGTAAATGCTGTGCAGGTGGTGGGGATGTCTGCATTCCTCTTCACTGCCAGGTGCCCAGAAGCTTGGTGTTTGTGCTGTGGGTCCTTCAACGGACGGCGACCTGAAAAGTGCCCTTAGGTGATTGCTCTTTTTATCATCCCCAAGGGCTTCCTGATGCTGGACAAGCCCCGGGCCCATGCACTGCCCATGCAGCACTTGGCACTTGTGGGACATGGGAGGATGTCTTTGTGGCTGATTTTTTCTATACTTAGGCTGCCATCCCTGAACCTGGGCAAATTCCTGCTCTGCTCGACGAAGGCCTCAAGTAGGGTGGTTTTCACATGCTGCAGGCAGCTGCGGACTCGACGGATCATGTGAGATCCAAAAAAATCGAAGCTTTAGAAGTGGCGGCATGTCGAGAGAAGTTCTGGCCTTTCAACACCCTGGTCATGTCTCTCACGGAAGGCGTCGAAAATTGGTGATGGCATGTTCTCCAGCGACGAGGCTCTTTGTCCCACCGCTCATAAGTCCTCGGGGTCGCAGGCCGACCAGTAGCAGAGCTTGCTACGAATCAAGACCTTCTCCTCAGTTCGGTGCTGCCTTGTCATTGCACTGCAACATGTATGGACTTGTCGTGGCCCGACGTCTGTCAGAATCTGATCCATGATTCATGATTGAACCCGCCACAGGATGAACCCTCCACAACTGGGCTTACCACCAGCATCGCACTCGACATGCCACTTCTTGGGAGGGGAGCTAGCAGATTCCAGCGGATCCAAGCACAGCTTACGCTCGCCTAGGCGTAAATCCTCGAACGTTCGCGCTGCGCTCTGAGGAGGAGATGCCAGGGTCCATCCGCAGTCGCACCAAGAGAGTGCATGCAAGCGTGCCGGTACATGACCTTTCGCTGCCACTACGTACTATTTCTACCACTACCACGTCCACGACGACGACGACGACTACTGCTACTGCTGCTACTGCTACTACTGCTTCTACTGCTACTACTGCTACTACTGCTACTGCTGCTACTACTACTACTACTACTGCTACTACTACTACTACTACTACTACTAAAATTATCACTACTACTACTACTACTACTACTACTACTACTACTACTACTACTAGCACCCGCTATGACGACAGCCTCCAGCACCATAACGAGCACCAGCGTCGCTACTGCCACCACCGACCAACTACCAACCAACCATCACCAACCACTACCCGGACATGTGCGACTGTTGATTTTTCCGTTGGCCTGCATAAATCACATTCGATCTTGTGAACTGGAGTCCCGCCAGGACTCCGATGCCGACTCCGACATGGAGGAGGAGGCCCTGGCCGACGCCAGTCGCGGCATGTCAGTTCCAGACCAGCGACATTGAAATGTCGACGCACATGTGCGTACACAGATCATATGCACTGTGCAGTATCAGTTTTCATGCTTACGTCGGCCTTCCAGGAGAAGCTCGGAAGATGTTCTGTGCTCATGAGGCTCACGTCTTCCCTAGCCGAGCTGGGTTCTGCAAACGCTTGCCGTTCGCCTTAGGCAGATGGCTCTCGCCATCGTCGAAATCTTGCTGTCGATCCTGCTCTTCAGCCGGCAGCTCATGATCGCAAGGCAAGACAAGGCGAAGACTCCTTACCACTCATGGCCACCAAGCAAGTTCACAAAAAGGATAACTCCCCATTCGGGCCCTCAGATTGCAGCCCCACCTGATAAGTCTAGTATGCCCCTTAGTAACCCTCGTTACCGTTTCAAAAACTTGCCCAGGCCCTGAGCTCATCATCGGGGTCGTGCGCCTCGTCCGTGGATCCTGGGCCCAGGCAGGATGGCGCTTGGTGGTACAGTTTCGAGAAGCTTGAGAGTTTCAGAACAACTAGGCTGGGCAGTGCAGGGTCCGGGGCGGACCTGCATTACTAGTTGCTAGGAGCCTGCCGAGTCGCAAGAGTTATGTCTGGAGACGTTTGCCAAAATGGCTCTGCCATTTTGGCTCTAGTGCCGGGACCTCCGGTCCCTCAGAATTTGTACCAGCTTTCGCTCCCTTTTCTCTCATCGCGACCGTTGATCATGGCATCTTCCTCCGTGGAAGCTATGGCACCCAGCATGGAGACCGTGGAAAGCATCCCACAGCCACGTGAGGATCGTGACTCTGATCAGGAATGGGAGAAGCTGCAGGACGAAGGTGCCATCGCAAGGGCGAGCCGTCTCCACAATCCTCAAGCTGACGAAGATGAGGAGCTTCACTCGGTGCTGTCCTGCCCATGTGGATGTTGATGATAACCCCCTCTCCACAAGACTCAAAGAGATGGACATGGCCATGGCCAAGTTGGTTATGAAGGGGGACGACCCAGTCAAGGTGGTCAAGATTGCCGAGGACACCGAGATGCAGAGTGCCCTTCGGAGCCGACACAGATAGACGCAGAGATTTGGTGGATGCCACGGCCGTACCTACAGGTGACTTTGTCCCTGAGGGGCAGCCTGCTGCGGTCTCCTCCTCGTCGAAGTCGGGCCCTGGTGTTTTGGAAGAAAAGCTCTACTTCCTCGAGGGCTTCCCCTCAGACTTCCCAGGCCTCGGCAACCGAGCAGAAGACCAAGCAAAGCAGCTCACCCAGGCGGAGTTAGCTGAGATCTTCTCCAGCCTGAAGACAAAGATTTGGACAGTCAACCAAGAGCACTTGCAGCAGGACCGCCTCACAGCTACAAGCGCCAGGGCATCGGGCACAGCAGCCACCGCCTGGACCCGCGGCAAAGCGAGGGGAAGATGGGCTCGCTCAGTTGCAAAGCGGAGGAAGTGCCAGCTCTGCGACCGACACGTCATCGCACCCAAGCTGGGCCACACCCATCCACCATGCAAAAGGTGTGCCTTGCTGCATGGTTTGGTGTGTCTGCCATTTGCATGTGGATATCTGACATGAAGGCTTTTAAACGGTTGCTCCGCAGCACTGCCGGCGCTAAAGATTCGGTAAAAGAGAGGTTACGTTGACGGTCTTTGAGTTCGAGATTGCCCGAATGCAAAGGTGAACCCCAAAAGGTCCCAAAACGTATGTCCATTGTAAAAGCCAAAGTCAATGTCCCAGCATGTTCACTCCGTGCGAAAGGTGACTGGAACGCAGAACTGGCAGCCGCAGGACAAGCGGGTAGCGAGCAGCTTTCGCCCACAGCAGTCGTACTGTCGTCGTTGTTGTTGTTGCTGCTGCTTCAGCTTCGTGTTGCTGATGTTTGACGCGTTTACAAGTAATTCCAATTGGTATTCTACTTTTTGCTTCGTGCGCCAGTGGCTCTCCGCCCCATCCTTTGCTACGACGAATAATTTCGGGCTCGTGCTCTGGCTGCAAGGATGCAGTGGAGAAAGAAGTCCAGCAGAATTTGAGCTTCTTCTACGTTTTCAAGGTCGAACGCGAGAGAAAGCCTCCCGCATGCAGCATTGATGTGCACGATCCTGGAGCCTCGCACAGCCGATGTTTTGCAGAAAACGTGGCTCGTCTTCGCGTGCGGTGTGGCATACCTGGTATACGCTCGCGTCTCAAAGCGAGCTGCAGCTTTGCTCATGGTTGGGGGATTAGATTTGGGAAGCTTTATTATTCGTTGGAAGCCGACTCTATCAAAGTTATTGCCGTGACTAGGAGCCTGTTCGTGAGACAGGGTCGCGTCACACTCCAGATTTGTATCATGCCGCACGCCGCCTGAGGCGATTGTCTTTGGCATCCACGATGCGTTGGCACACACCTTGGGAGCATTGAAGCAGCTTTAGATCGTGCCACTTCCAACAACCATTGGGAGCGCAAGCGTGCATGCTTTTCTGTGCATCAGGTCGGCCATCAATCATCCGACTACCCTCTGAAGCCAGTTGCTGACTCCTATGTTCAGGTCTTCCTCCTCATCATCTCCTGGGTGGGCTATCCGTTCACAACATACGCCGGGAGCTCAGCTCGAAGAGATGACTGTAATAGTCACCACTTCATACTTCGAGCCCCTTCTTGCCCTCCTCCATGATGAGGGTTGCTATTTGCCAGTAGTTATTGACCACACATCTTGACAGTGCGACAGACAGTAATAGCGAAAGGCGGTTCGACAACCAAATGGAAGCAAGATTTGGGTTCTGGGTTTTGCGTCGTGGGTCCTAAGTACACTTCTTGAATCGGACTTCTTGCAAGTAGTTGAAATATATCTGGGTCAAACTGCCGAGCAATACGCCTAGCTCCTGTGGAAAGTGCTAGTAATAGAGGATCATAGAAGCAACAGTAAACCACACTTTGCAGCAAGAGCAATAGGTGCTGATTGTAATTGTTATCAGGAAACGTAACAGTAAGAACGAGAGGGAGTCAGCAACCTCTGAGCATGTACCAGTGGCACATGTCAAGTGATGGCAATGCTTGGAGCAAAACCCTTGGGTGTGTAAGTGTGGGAGTGTCGAGTTGACGGCTGTTGACTACTGATCGCGGTTGCCCAAATGTCTAACTTGAAACGACTACGATAATCTTGCAGAGTTTTCAAGCAAGCTACCCTTGGCAAAACGGCAAGCATCCAGCTCCTCGCCCAGTGGATGTGCATGCCTGTCCACGACATGTGGCGAAGGCCAGCGACTTACCGCTCGAATCTCTTACATGAGCAATATTCGATTTCAGCATGCGTGTGCTTTTGCTTGATCTTCGAGCTGGATACAATGCTGCTGCCGGAGATCCAGCTGCATGAAGTTTGTTTCGCCTTAGCACCATCTCAGCAATGCAGTAAACTCCCACTCGCCTGTGAACTCTGATGGGCAAACATGTGGCGAGGAATCCCTTGATTGGCTCCGGGCTAAGGTCTTTCCTGTGGAAGTGGGTAATGGAAGTGAAGAAGAACCAAGGCTAAGCTGGCCCTGTCCGATTTCTTTTGGGTTCTGATCATGTCCGTGCCATTTCGCACCCAGGCCAGAGGAAGGAGTCTGTCCGCGTTTAGGTTCAGCTATTTTGGGTGCAAAGCTCGGTGTGGAAGTCTTCCAAGACTCATATGGCCTGAACGGCGTGAGCCGAACCGAATTCGGAGCTTATTCGAGCCGCTGTTCTTTTGGAATGCTTAAGACAGATGGAGCATCATGATCAGAACTGCCTGTTTTCCGTCAGACTGGATCGGTATCCACGGCGCAGAAGCTTCCCTGTGGCATGCTGTCCAGTCGCTGAATTTTAAATGCTGTGCTATGCAGTGCCATGAAACGACCAAAAGAACTGAAATAGACATTATTGCACTTCCTGGGCTCTGGCTGTTTGGCACAGGGCTGGTTAAACGCAAACCTGTCAGCTCCTCCATGTGCTCGGCTATGTTTTGCGCGACTTGGTGCCACGCAAAGGTTGTGGACCACGGTCATTTGCTTAATGTCCCAAAACGGCGATATCTGCAAAAATGGCTGCGCCCGCATGAGGTCACACTGCCGGCGTGACTGCACGCGCAGATTGAGGTTGACTCGTCAGTATGTCACGGGATCATTTTGGACAGCCTTGTAATGATATTGTAATGCAACCTGCTGAAGCTTTGCACGAAGATGCAAGGTTTCCCATTCAGGGGACGCTATCCACAATGCTTCTGCGAACACAGCATCGCCACCGAGCGAGCATTGTGTTTGGACTGTGCCCTTGATCTGCCCGAAGCTGGCATGAGCCGCCATGTGAGAAACAAGAAGATGCCCGGAGCAAAGAGTCACCATCGGACGCCCAACATGTTTGACGGGCTCCAACGGCAAGCGACAACCCATGACCCCGAGACCGGTCTCCGTAGGCCGCAGCAGCCCTGATTTTTAACAGATTCGAGCACCGCCGCGTCCCCAAGTATAGATTCAAAGTGGATACGCGACGCTCCTTTGCAGTCCGATGCCATGAGCTCTGCTCTCGTGCGGCGCCGCCTGACCAGGCTTGTGATTCTGGTAACAGAAACCAAACAAGGGATAGATGTAAACTTTTAAAGCCAAGCCCATCGTTGCCTTCAAGAGTTTATGCTTGGGGTTTGGGGGGGGTTCAGGAATCAGGTTAGGAGGATGTCGTCCAACATGCGTTGGCGACTTCTGCGATAAAATCAGACATCCTTCCCGCCTTCCTTCGCGCTTGTTGCACTGACAGATGATGCCTGAATGGTGCTGCTTGTGTAATGCACCGCATGTACGAACCTTTGTAGGTGGTAAGATAAAGGCACGCTCCTCTACGCCACTGTAAACACAGCAATGGCTGCTGCATGCGCCCGACAACCGAAGCCACAACTCAAGAGCCTTGCGCAAGTGCCAGCCATCGAAGTTTCTTGCAAGCCTGCATTGGCCAGCTAGAACGAATCGGGGCTTAAGGCTTCGAGTTCAGGGTAAGACCAGAAGAAGCCGGACATACTGACACCCTGAATCCCCCCCTTACCCCGCAGATATTCCAGGACCCTCAGATATTGAGATGCCTTTTCTCTTGTTGCGCCCCAACAAAGAACCGCTCAGGCTCGACATGGCAGGAAACCCCAAAGCCGTAGCTCCATAAAGCCTAGGCCTTGAAGTAGCAGTTGTAATAGTAGTAGTAGTAGTAGTTGTTGTTGTTGTTGTTGTTGTTGTTGTTGTTGTAGTTGTAGTTGTTGTAGTAGTTGTAGTTGTTGTAGTTGTAGTTGTAGTTGTAGTTGTTGTAGTTGTTGTAGTTGTTGTTGTTGTTGTTGTTGTTGTGGTTGTTGTTGTTGCTGCTTATCTTAAGCCTTGGCCGTGAGAAGTTTAGAGAATCAAGCAGCCCAGCGCCTGAGACCAAAATGAATCCCAGCGGTGAACAGTCACAGCCAATGCTAAGAATTGTCCGAACATCTCGCGATTCTCTTTAAAAGGGTTCTACGAGCTTTCCTTTAGGGTCTAGATAAGGAGTTTAGGTTGAATAAAGTCGTATTCCTCAGGCTCACTTATGCACTCATCACAGAGCCCCTCGAGACTCCATGAAGTTTACAACGGTCCCTCCATTCGCCTTAGCCCTGCACAAAAACTAGTTCATTAAGTGAACAACCGTTCGAAGCGCCGAACCGTTATGTTGATGTTCATGATTTCATGATCCAGCAATCAGTTCGAAGTGAGTTGTGTCTGACGAGGCTTGCGTCGCTACCTGCTTTGCGAAGATTTTCTGCCACGCCTTCACCGGGGGAATTGGAGAGGCGGGGGTGAAGCTTGTGTTGCACTGGGTTGATCAGATCCCATATGCAGTCTCAAGTAAACGAGCTGGGCCTCATGCAAGATGATCCAGCGACAGTCATGGAGGCTTTATGGTGAGCACCGTGACTGCAGCAGGGGGGGTCCCTCCAGCCCTGAGAAAGGTCCACGAGAAGCAGGGGATGGTGGAGCCGTTTCGTGCAGCTGTCCTACAAGTGGCTCCTGGACGGAAGAGTGCGGACAGGAACATATCATTCATGTTGTGAGTGGGTTCCTGTATTCCTGATACTGGCTGCGTCTCATCTGAGGTTAGGCAGCTCGCTCTTTGATAAGAAGGCCTGGGGGTGGTACACGTTTTGATCTCCAGAGTGGTTCTGCTAACGAGGATGGTTTCCACGATATGCGAGTCATTTCGACCAATGCCGCATTCTGAAGTTTATTTTTTGGGGGCCTTCCCATGCGGACAAAGATGCCAGCCTGTCTACACTTGCTTCCCCAATCTTTCGGGTCAGGACACGGGGCTGCGTGATTCGCACTGCAACTTCACATTGCAACATGTGCCCGAACAGCTTGGGACAGGGAAGGTCAGTGAAGACAAATCAGGTCGTAAGGGTAACCGACGACTGCAGCCCGAAACCCAGGAACTCGTGGAGCATTTCCTTTGTGAATCTTCAGATCGGAATTGTCGAACCACTTGAAGACCTCGGGCTGTGAGGCGGACATCTGCAACTGTGGAGGGGACTTCGGAGTGCCGATCCCAAGGCAGTGTTTTGATACTGTACGACGTTACGATGATTTTTCTTCCTGGTCTTGTCCTGCACGTCATAACGCCTCCGGGACTCCTCCACCACACCAGCACCGGCAGCAGCAGCAGCACCACCACCACCAACCACCACCACCACCACCGCCACCGCCACCGCCACCGCCACCCCCACCACCACCACCACCACCACCACCACCACCACCACCACCACCACCACCACCACCACCACCACCTATCAGCACTATCACAACTATCACTTGTTGGAGGCGTGGGCCTCTATACGTGTTGGTGGGCCCCCAAGGGTCTGGGACTATATATAAACATACTGGGACTATATATAAACCTCGTGGAACCATATATAGATTGTGCCTTTGAATTTACAGTATTAACGTATACAGTATACAGTATACAGTACACAGTATATATACTGTCTAGACTGTATAGACTATACCGCAAAGTGTGCGCTTGCATCAGGCCAGGCACCTCACCTTAGCGAAACAGGGCGAACGCGCCGTTTACAGAATGACTCAGAATTAGAACAGAATGACTGAATGACGATTGTGGAATCTCGGCGTGCTCAGCGCTACCTGAACCCTCACTCTTGCTCACAACTAGACCGTGGAGAACCTGGGAGCCTGAACCCTATAAACCTTCAACAAAATCCAAGCTCCTACCGGCTACACCGACATGTAGACTGAATCAGACCAGACTGAACATCAAAAGAAAGTTGCTGGAAGCTCACGTTTCTGGCTGCGCCCGGACATCCACACTGCCACGACACTGCCACTCGGGAGAAGATCCATAAGGATCGAACCACAGGTCAAAACAGTTGCTCGGCCCAGTGCTACGTAACACACGTGACAGCACGCCGACTACTGCTTCGTCAAAACTCAGCAGCTACTTCTTAGCTTTGGATCGTGGGCGCTTCGCCGCGTGAGACTCATCAGCTGAGGAAGGATCGGCCACAGGCTTCTTCCTGCATCAGGAGCAATACAGAACTTGGGATTTGAAGAATAAGAATCAGAACGAATCTAGTGCATCCTGGAAACACTGCTTTTGCAACTCCATGGTTGATGTAGCGCTGGTTCAAGGCGGGCGACAAAT